TGAAGGATTGTCCTCACTACTCTGCTCTAAAGCCTCTAGATTGTCTTGTTTTGTGGGAGGCTCATCCTGTTTGTTGTCAGGATTTGAAGCTTCCTGCTTGGGTGCAGAATCATCAGTACTTTCTATCATCACTTCAAATGGACGAGTGATTTCAATGGTTTCTAAACTGTCATCATCAATCGCACTGGCAGATATTTTATCAATTGCTTGCATGTCTGTTGTCTTTCCCTCCACTTCCTGCACAGCGTCCTGTGGTCGATGAGCACCTGTGTCAGATTCATCCACTCCTTCCAGTGTCGCTCCCACTGATTCATCAGACACCACTTTGAAGTCTGCCTCCAAGTTGTCTGCTGTTGTAGGATGCTCATCTTGTTTGTCATCAGGATTTGAAACTTCCTGCTTGGATTGGTGTGTGTCCACGATCTCAGTTTGGTCTTTCAGGTTTCCAGAGGAGGCATCAGCATTTTCTGTGGCATCAACCGTGAGACTTTGAGGGGAGTAATCAATTTGCGGAAAATCCTCTCCATGCCCCTTATTTACAGCATCCTCTGAAAGCTGATAATCTGCAGATAAACTGAAAAGCTCTTGCAGGTGTTTATTCGTAGGCAGCTCCTCTTTTGCTAATAAAAATCCTGCTTGCTCGACACTGCCTTTAATTGCCGTATTTTCCTCGGGGCTGCTTTTATCTGTAATAGACTCCAAAGCCACTGATGTTACCTGTGACTCACTCTCTAAGGTGTTGCCCTGCCAGCTTCCATCCTGCCTGAACAGGTCTGCGTCATCGCTTTTATTGCTCCCCATTGCTGCTACTGAAAACACATGGGAGGGTTCCTCCTCTGGCATCTCGCTGGAATTTGACGGTTGAATGTTGATCAGCTGTTGATCTGCTGAAAGACTTGAAGGTGCACTTAAATGAGCCAACTCTGGCACGACATGTGCATTTGGATTCATTTCTGCACTGTCAGGTTTGTCAGTCCTTTCCAGCTTAGTCTCATTTTCACAAGCCTGGTCTGCTTGCAGGTTGCCAGTATTAGGGACTACAAATTCCATGACATCTTCTGCAAAGTTTAACATGTTATGGCTTTTAACCTCAAAGTCAGGTGTATTGCCTGAAGACCAAGAGCTCTTGGCTGTTGCAGAGGTATCTTGAACACTCCCTTGGCTTGATTCTTCCTGCCTGTCAAGTTGTGCTGCCAGTGATGTTTGTGTTGTTTCGACGGTTTTATTACTCTGGGTCTTTTCCTCAACTTCCTCTCTAGGTTCAAGAAATGGCTCGGAGTCTTTCGCAAACTGCCTTCCTTTATTTCTCCGACTAGACCCCAGTTTTTTCCTATTCATCGTGACGTCCGGCGACGGAGGTTGCTGGGTTTCAGGTTTTGAATCGTCAGGATTAGACAGTACATTTATTGATTCACTACCCTCTTCGAGCACATGGTGTTGTGCCACAGCGTCTGTTACGTGCGTCTCATCAGATGTTACAGTCGCATTTGGTGCCGCACGACGCGAACTGAGGCGTTTTTTCTTGGTACTTTTAGAAGACATAGCTTCTAATCTTCTCCCCTAAAGCATGAAACATTCAGTCGTGCAGCGTGTTAGCAAATCACACATAAACCAAGTCAGTATATAAACAAGAACTCCACTTCTTTTGTTCCCACACACCCTAAATCCAGCACATGCACAAAGAAAACAGCACACAGATTTTTTTAAAACTGTACTACAGTCAATTTTAAACTACTACAATTACTTATATGCAAAATTAAACAGCAGCACAAACTCAGTTAAGTCATTTCAGACCTTCTACAGAAAAGTTGCATGTACTTACCACCCAAATCTGGCAACTCTATCGTCTCACAGCATGAGCTACTCTGTAATGCCAAGTCATCAGCCTCTGCTCAACAGCGGTTGCGTTTCACACAGGGGGGTGTGTTCCCTCACGGCAGGCTTGTCTGAGCACTTCCTGTGTGGGCTGCACTTGCTGCCTTTATCAGCTTTAACATAAAACACTTCCTGTATTGAATAAAGCTTCATTTTCCATTTTCAAAAACAACTTTTATTATCATCGTGAAGTCTTCTGTTATAATAATAATAACAAAGGTACTGGTATATGCAACCAATCAAAGAGTTCAACAAGAAGGTCACCTTGGAAAAACATTTATTGAACAAGTTGTTAAACTGCATCGGCACAAATCGTCAGCGCTCAGAGAATCAAGCAGTACAGAGTAAATGCCTTCTTTTGAAAAAGTGGCACACAGTAGGTAAAATACAGAATAACAGATAATGTTTTAGGGATAGCCTACAAATAACAGCACCAGTATTTACAACGTTTGTCGAGCGTCTGCTTCGTCAAGGATATAAAGAACACTCCCTCTGCCGATGTGATCCGTCAAAACATTTTTTTTAAAAAGCAAAGAAAAACCTTGCATAAACTTCAATTCAACAGTTAAAAAAAGAAAACAAGATGTTAATGTAAAACTCAATATAGGACTCCGTTTCAGAACATGCAGGCCAAGACAGAGTTCATTTTAAATGAACACTTTGATGCCATGAAAACTTGCAACAAGGAGAAAACCCCTTCAGTCTTGGTTCATGTAACAGACTACGATGTGTAACTTGAGCGACCTTCAGCTGCCTTCAGCCAGCAAACACAATCTAAAAAAACATGACTATAAAAATTTGTCTTTTCACAACCATAGCTTGATCCTGCAGACAAACAATCCAACATCTTCATTTCCTCTCGTTAGACCGGGAACGACTGTAAAAGAAATCAACCCGTTAATGAATAAATATTTAAAACATGTTGGTGGTAAGATGAAGTCTGAAAGTAGAGCATGATATTTATATTTACCTCCTTGATCGTGAGAAGGATCTTGAACGCTTGCGGTTCTTGTCTCTGGAGAGAGATCGATATCTACGTCTATCTCTTGAAAGAGACCTGATGAAGGAATTAGAAAAAAAACAGTTTTATCGTTCAGTGACGGACAAATGTGTAGCTCAGCCGTCGAAACCCCAAAACCCACAGGTGAGGTAAAAGAAAAAAAACTGTAAAAACAGGAAGAAAAATTGGAACGTGATCTATTTGTGCATTTTTTTTTTCAGTTTTGTCGGGAAAAAACAACCATGTCTAAGCTAAAAACCAAAAAGAAAGGGATATTTAATCAAAAGAACTTTACACATCTTATTTAACCTCTGTAAGCACACTGTAAAAAACGACAAACAAATTGATAAAAGAAAGCTTTGATCACTTTGTCAGTGACAATTAAATGAGAAGATTGGAATCATTGTCATATATGTTAGTAAAATATGACACCAGAAAACGTAAGCCTAGCTTTGCATGAATCTGAAATCAAGCAAACAGCTAGCTTGGCTCTCTATTTGGTAAAAAAAAACCCTAAAAATTCTGAACTCTTTAGCGCAGCCGACAAGTCATGAGAGACTCGGCTGTGACCATCAGTCACATGACAAAAATTCAGAGATTATTTGAACTGCAGACAGATAGAAGGGAAGTCTGGAAACACAATAAAATATAAATAGTTAAATATCTAGACTATGTAAAGTCCCCATTTCTTCCAGCATGGTAACACCTCAGGTACTTATAAATATATATTGTACATGTTGATACCTGATTTTTACATTTCTCAAGTTTTGTAAAAATGAATAATCAACAATATCTAACTTTTGTTGTTTCTGTTTTTATTTTATTTTATTATTTATGGCATCATAACGTTGTTATTTTGCACTACAGTGGCGGTTTCTGAGTACTCTCTAAGCCACTGCCGTGCTGTTTCCACAGAGGTGAGGGACTGTAGACTGCAGTGAGCTCAACGTACGTACAAATGTGACAGGAGTAAATAAAATGCTCGAGGTTTAGAGTCGGTACCGAGCTTACCGGCTGCGACTGCGGCTCAGGCTCCTCCTCCTCGGGGATCTATAATGTAGATGAAGTTGAAGAAATGAAACCAATAAATTAGCACAGAGGATTCAACACTTCCAATCACTCATGAAACCTATTTTTAATCCTTAAGAGACGTGGTTACACGTACTTCCTTGTCTGTTACTAGAAGGACCGTCTGCATCCATGAACTGCATCAATTCATTAAAAGGAGACTTTGTGCAATAAGCACCAGTCATGGATCCAGAGTTCACAACATAGAACAAAATCAGGGCTCGACATTAAGACAAGTGGGAAAAGCATATTGTTAGACCATCTGTGCTGTTTTTAAAGTGGTTCTAAACAACATGGGAGGTACACGGCTTGTGCACAATGTTGTAACAAAGTAAACAGGTTCCTACAGTGGTTCTAACAGGAAAGCCGTATTGTTTTCACATATAGTTGAAGGAAACCTGGATGTGGGACGTATCCTGGAGCAGCAACCTACTCGTGACGGCTGTAAAGACTTATATGCACGTCACGTAGGCTATCAAAGGACAACCACTGTTTCTTACTGTGCTGTTTCTCTACTGTATTGATTTGTTAATGGTTTTTGGATCTTTATCACTCTGGGAGGGACGGTTGCTTAGCTGGACCTGGCACCACAGAGCTCGTCAGTCTTTTGGGGTGCCCGGTGTGTAAATATGTGGGATCCAAGTGGGACTGAAACTCTGTCAGTCAAAACATTTGGTGGATGGCTTAATGTCGAGCCGTGAAGATGCACTCAGCAGACAATCAAACTGAAAATTGGATAAATCTATTTAAGTTTTTGCAAATGAACATTAACGACTGCCGGTCTACTTTGCTGACCTTTAATATCTTTGCAGCTCAGCACTGAAGTTGCTCTAAATTACACAACTGCAGAGGCAAAACTGTCAAGCAGCTTTGAAAGCTAGATTATGCATTAAAAACTACAAAGAGCAGGATAAAAGCAACTTACTATTTTGGGGGATTTGGACAAGATAGAAATGACGCTAGGAAGCCAGACTGATGGTGAGGGAGGTCGAATTGCAGAGAGCCACATGATGCAAATGTTGGCGATATGAAGTTGCCTGGTGGCTGGTTGGAGGGGGTGGTTGTAGATTTTTTCCCGCCTTTTTGGGGGGTGTGGGGATGGGTAGGGATGTAAGCCAAGGGCTGTTCCCGTTGATACAGTAGATGTGCGGAGAATAGAGCAAGTAACGACGCTGATTGGTTGATAATGTGAAGTGGGCCGCTGTCGATTGGATAAAGGTTGGCGGAAGAGGAGGAGGATGCTGGGAACTGCATGCTCAGGAACCAAAAGGTTGGTGGAACCTGACGACTGGCGATGCGCCTTGGGTCATGTGACAACACCAGCCAAGCTGATTGGGGCTCGCTGGTCAGCAGTCACATGATGCTGAAAGAAGGACTAGTTGACTGACTCAGATGGTGAGAAGCGTGGTGGTGACTCTGCAACGGGGTTCAGTTTTATTAATAGATGGCAACTGAACTCAGAAAGAAAACAAAATGTACACCTGCAGAAAGTAATTCTAAAAGTACGTGTAAAAATGTTGGATGGATGATGAAGTGCTAAAGACGTCCCTGTAGAGCAGTAACACTCTGGTTTTTACAGACATACCTTTACAAAAAGTTCAGAAACAGTCAAGTGCTGACTTAAGCTGTCACTTTGAAAAAATTAATAATGATAAAAATGACCCTGGACATGATAAAATAATGTACTGGCATCACTCCAGTCAATATGGGATCAGCGGCCGTATTCACAAAACATCCTGAGGCTAAACACAGCTAACTGCTAACTGGCCTCGTTGGGAGAAACATCTATAAAAAGAGAATAAAACTCCGAGATAGACTTCCAACCCGTCAGAATTATTCATACGACTAAAATGCACTCTTTCGACTCTGACAGCAACACCTACTATTTTAAATAATTAAAGCAGGTTTCAGGGTCACCACGCTAACACTGCTGCTATATGTAGAACTGCCCTACTAATGTATGCAGGTCAACGGAATTCATATCGCTTGCACACATATTATAAATATTGCATTTTGTTTCGGGCATGAGAAACTAACTGTTAGTTCATGTCAGACCTGATAATAAATCACCGTAGACGGCAATAGCCGAGTTCATGAATGAAACGGCGGCCTTGCCTCCTCTCTAGATGCTTTGTGAATACAGCCGCAGATTTCTTTTTCAAATGAAGGACAGGAAGTGACACCAGTTCATCAAGCAGCCAGATAATCTACTGATAAACTCAAGTTATATGCATGCTAATAGAGTGATAATATTACCATAAATTCCAGACTATGAGCGCACCTGAATATTAGCTGCACCTGCTAGCTTTAAAAAGAAAACAGGTTTTGTACATATATCGGCTGCACTTGTCTATAAGCTGCAGGTGTCCACGCTGGAACATGAGATATTTACACAGAAAGATTTTATTAAACTTTTAATTAAACCGGTGACATACACAAATATGTAAATGCTTTTTTTCCAAACATTTCCTGTAACACGGCTGGTTAAGAAAATAAAAACCACAGCAGCCTACCAGGAAAAGTCATTGATCACGATCTTCATCTTCCTCCTACGCACTAAAACCACTAAAGTCGTCTTCTTCAGCCTTAGAATTACTTCGTCACACACTTTCTCAGTCTCTCTCTTTCGCTCTCAGTGTCACTTTGGTCTCGAGGCAAATTCGTAAAAATCCATAAATTAGCTGCATCATTGTTTAAGCTTCAGTGTTCAAAGCATGTGAAAAAAGTAGCGGCTCATAGTCCAGAATTTACGGTAATTTTATTTTACTAATGTGATCTCGAGCACTACAAGACCTGACAATGAAATTTAGGCCATAGTGTTCAGCAACTTGACAACCTACTTGGCTTTGGTTTACTTTGGCAAAGCTTAAATCGCTGTGAGATTAGAAGAGACAACAAATTTCTCCCAACTTAGTAGATCTGAAACAGTTTTGCCAAACTGAGGAGTCAAAAAAACACATTGCTTATAGTGTGTGGATTACAAATATCTGCCTAGTCATTTGTGTTTTTAATAAACACTGCAAACATATTATTAACAGTAAAATGAATGGTCTAGTAGGAAGCACATACCTGCGTCTGACCGGAGGACTACGTCGTCTAAAGTCGTCGCGAGGGCGTCTGCTCCAGGACGGAGGCGGCCCGCGGCTCCTGGAGCGCTTCTCCCCGGTGGATAACTCGACACGCACTCGACAGCCACACATGGTTCTAAACAGAGGCCATCAAATCAATGGAAAGCAACAAAAAAACAAATCCAAATAGATGATCACAGCTAAGTAAAGGAGGCGTTACCTGCCGTCCAGTTCTCTCACAGCATCGGACGCATCTCTGGGATCTTCAAACTCTACGAAAGCGAAACCTGGAGGATTCCTGGCAACCCAAACACTTCTTAAAGGGCCGTAGTATCCAAACGCTCTTTCTAACTCCGTCTTGTTTCCGTTGTTTCCTAGATTCCCGACGTAAACCTTGCAGTCGAGGGGACAGTCTCGATGAAAAGTGGGGTCTTGAAGGAAGAGAGACAAGCAGCGGCACGGACGGTTACAGCTCACGATTTGAAATGAAGACGAGGTAAAAAGGTCTTCAAGAATCACAAATGAAATTAATGAAGCTCCTGGGATTTACCGCTTCATCCATCAAAGACTTGTAAGTTAAACAAAAACAGTCTTTGAACATTTTTGGCGGTGAGCGGTTTAAAAGAACGTCCTCCCTTATTGCATTTCTCTCTCTGATAACACTGAAAATTGGTTCTTCATTTGGAGATTTTTTTAGCCAGTGATTGGACAAAAAACGTGCTAATTAATTCCAGCATCACAGGAGAGGAGGGCAGAGGAGTGGATGAATGCTCTGTAGCTTTAGGTCACCAATAATGTAGAGAAAAGTAGATTGGCCATCTCGATTTAGGATAAGGTAAACACAGTTAACTTTACAATGCGAGCTGGTAGTGCTTTACAGTATCTTACAGATGGCAGCAGTGATGAAGCCACACAGTAATAATGTGATGTGATAGAGGAAGTCCATCTGACATGACACAGCGGTTGTGCTGTTTTAGTGTCTCAGATGGTGGTGATAAAGCCTCAGCATGCGAAAAAAAAACTATTTCGACGATCACATCTGCTGCGTTTCCTTGCCTTAACATTACAGTACGTCGATTATCTTTGGTTTGATAATTGGACAAAACAAAGCTTTTAAAAATGTCATCCTGTGAGACTGTGTTGTCCTTTAAGTTTTCCAGACTAAACAATTCATAAAGAGAGAGAAAAAAAAAAACAGCTCAGTGATGAAAATAATTGCTGCTTTAAGGATAAAGAGCAAAGGTGACATTTCATACTAAAGCAGGTTATCCTCTTGAATAATCACTTTCACCCAGGAAACAACACTGCTTTGGGAAAGAAAAGTTTCAGCAATAATTTGTGAAGTTTTCATACCTCCCATTCCAACTATCTTGTCGTTACTAGACTCAGATTCGCCTGAAAGAAAAAAGAAAGACAGTAAGAAATTGTTAGAATCACAAACTTGGGCTCCGAGTACAATAAATGCATTGTCCCATTTACTGTCGTATGTGTGTAAACAGGTCGATTGTAATCAATGTTTTTTTCTAGATTTAGCCTTGACTCTTCAGCACAATGAAACCTTCTCAAACTATGACAGAACAAAGAACTATGCAAAGACCACAATAAATAGGACTATATAATAGGACTCGACATAGAAGAATGTCGTCCCACTCTTCCTGAAGCGCTCGGCGAACACTGTGGGACAGAATCTCGTCGTCTGGAAGGTCATGCAGCATATTGTTGAACTTTACTGATTGAAACTATTTAAGGAAAAAATGGTGCAGTTGTGGACAAGCAGGAGCTCGCTACGACCTTACCCAACATGCCAGCACCCAGCATCGTTTTGCTCTCGTCATCTGTGGCATCAAGTCATTTGAATAAAGCTGCATTTTAAGGTGGCCTTTGGAGTGTCTGGTCACGCTATCTGATCATTGTCCTTTAAAGCCACACCTCTCTGGATCAATAAGTTGTCTCAAAAACCTTTGATGCACAATTTGGCTAAATTTAAACTCTGACAACAACAATAGAAATGAGATTTTGAACTTCTTCTCCAAGTCAGAAAAGAAGACCATTTACATGCCGTGCTTATACTTGTGGTTTGGTTCAATAGGAAACTGTGATGTGGAGACTGGAAACCTGCACTGAGAATGGTCTTCCATGTGATGGAGGAGACATGCTTCGGCCACCTGAGCTGCGTGGACAGCTCAAAGCTTTCTTCTCCTTTTTTCTTTGACTGCTTCTCTAAGATGTTGCATTAGTGGTCCCCAGTAATGGTTTGACCCTTTTGCAAGACGTCAATCATGATCAAACCCTCACTGTCCCTAAACACAGAGGCACCTATCATCTTGCTGACTGCTGCATTTCCAATGTTTGCATCCTTGATCACTAGACTCCTAAGGAATTTGACTGAATCGACTCTAAAATGAGCCAGAAGTTTCCTCAAAATTTCCGTTCTCTTTAACTTTTGATCAGGCACCTGCCGTTTGTTCATCCACCAGGAAGTCAGTCTAACAGCGTGAACTGAGCCAACACTAATGTCCACCGGTTCCTCTACGCGTTGGACAGTCGCAGCCCCATCATTCATGACCATGTGATAATATGGCCTCCGCTTGATTGTCTGTGGTTGCTGATTGTGAGCGTATCTCTGATGATCCCTCTTGAAGTCACCTGCTTTTCATTACATCTGAATAACAAGAGGAGTCATGTTGATCATGTCTTTATGGATTTCCTTGGGGGTCACTGTCTGTTTAGGCAGATAGTTGATCACATCACTGACCCTCTCACATACTGATATCACAAGGCGTCACCAGTAAAGACATGACAACAAACAGTTTTTCTGGACACTGATATCAGGCTTTACAGTTGTTCCTGGGTGAGGGCGAGAACTGTTTGAATATTCACTGAAAAGTATTTGAATCTTTACCAGAATTTAATGCAGGAATGTTGAGTGAAACTTCACTGTTTCAGCTGTCTGTGTCTCATAATGCTGAACTGCACGCTGGCTTTATTCATCCACTTGGATGCACACATGAAGGCTAATTCAATGAAAAGTAGTTGGGTTTAGTTAGCATGTATGTTAACGGCGAACCTGTTACGCCACACTTTTAGATGGTTTGCCTGATATGAGTATCGCTGTCAGCATGACATAAAGTAATTAGCTTTTCATCTAACTTGTCCACCAAACACAGCCCAACCTCCCCTCAGCGAGCCATGCGAGCATCAACGCTGTGAGGAAGCGCAGAATGAAAGAGACAGCAAGTCTAGCATGTACACCCGCCAAACGTTTTTTTTTTTTTTTTTTTAACCCGAGAAAACAAGCGATGTGTTCAGGTAATATGGCTCACCTCTATTTTAGCAGCAGCTCCACACACACAAAAAAATGTTAGCAGCAAGTGTCACGCCGCCCGTCTCTGCAGGAGGCCTAGCTTGTTAGCTTATTAGCTTATTAGCATGAGCAACACAGCGGAAGTAGAAGCCGCCTTTCTTCTTCGCTGCGTGTAATATGTGTCCGCACAGCGGCGTTGAATCTAAACACCGCCACCTACTGCACTGTAGTGGACATTCTGCCAAAATACACTAAATACAACGCTTTAATCGTAAAGTTCAGCTTTTTAAAAAACAGAGAAATGTCATCAAATATTCGTTGACCAGATGTTTGACCTCCAAAGAAGCGTGTTTTTTTCTTTATTTTGCTCTTCAAAAGGGCGCAACATCACCGCCGGAATGAGTCAACAAAGTCTGTAAGTAGATTCAGAAAACTCCATTAATATATTTCTAAATGATACTCAGCTTTAATTTTGAGAAATCGATTTTTTTTCAAAATATTTCAGCAAATATAGTGAAATAGTAGTGAAATTATATCACAGTTTAAGGGAATCTAGACAATTATAGCGAGGAGGCCTCTGTAGTCCTTCTAATCCTGTGTAGACTGGAGTCATCATCCAGCTAACCCCATCCAGCCCCCCTCAGAGCCACTTTAATTTACATCTGGGCTCTCTTGTAATAAATGCCAGACTTAAAAATGTAAACAACAACAAGAGGGGGGATCAAATCTGATCGAATAGCTTGGACTATAATTGAAATATGAATAGGAAAATGAAAGCACATTTTACATTAGCGATAAGAGGCAAGATTACACTGTGTTGTAACTGCAGAGGCACACAATGGGTATTCTGTGCAGCTGTCATCCTCTCTCTTTGACCAATCTTCCTGTCCTCTTGCTGACGCCTTTCATTTCAACCCTTTTCTTCACTTCGGGGCTGAAGACAATCTTGACATCTGCTCTGGTTGCTGTGACCTCAGCCGTGATCATTTTCAGATATTTAGCGAAATACTAGTTTCCCCCTGTGTCAAGACGATGAGATCTTCTTCCTCCTCGTCAGGCTAACGTTTGCAAACACAACATGGCAACGTGCCCGTATTGCTGCAATATAGTAGACACAATTTCCTCGGGAAAAACAAATAAAGTTGTTCGACAGAAACACAGACGTAACAGAAAACAAACAGGACAGAAAATGTTTGAATTAAAGCACGAATGCAGTCAGGGGCAGTCAGATTTTATTTGCAGATGAACACAGGCCACTTAAGAAATGACGAAATGTTCTCCCTGTTTTCTCGTCGCACAGTCCAAAGACGTGTGTGTGGATTTTAAACTGGTTGTGTGTCTCTCTCTGTGTGGCCCTGCGGTGGACTGGTGACCTGCCCACGGTGTCGCCCACCTCCACCGACTGTCAGCTGGGCTCCAGATAATGGATGGCTGTATGGACCCTGGAAGGTAGAGTGCGTTTACTCAAGTACTGCACTTAGGGACAATTTCGAGGTACTTGTACTTTTCCCTAAGTATTTCCAGCTGGGAGCATTTTTTGAAAAGTGTAGCACATTGAGTGGGGAGGCCGCCCCCTACTGCAGCCACTAAAATGGACGTAGCATTAGTTATGCTTCATTTCTGTTCCGTCAAATTTAGTGAAACTGCAGCTGAGGATTTTTACACTAACATAAGTGTTCACTGATTCATTATTATTTACTCTCTGATTTAGTTTTGATCAGGCAGGAGTAAAAAGTGGCCATTATTGCCAGAGTGTTTTTCAGATCTCGCTCCGGCCTGCTGATGGAGACACAGAGGCTGGTCGTATTTCAAAATTCTCCCATGTGTTTCCTATCTGTAAAGCCCAAAGTTGCTCATTTTCACCCTGCAGGTTTTTACTGACTAAATAGTTATTTAGTCAAGCCATTGCTACGGGCCTACGAGGTTAAGCAACAACCACATACAGAGTTGTTAAAAACCACCTTCAGTGTTAATAATGCTGCGTATTGTTAGTCACTGGGGGAGTTTTTCTGCAAAATAGGTTCGTTTGCTTGTGATGCTTTGAGTGAATTTAGCTGGTAATGCTTTTGCAGGATTTTAAAAACACAGCTTTTACTCGTGGTGTTATCCTAACGCTGGATTGGTGCTTTTTACTCAACTAATAGATCTGATGACTTCATGCAATGCTGATAAAATGAAGTAGAAATGACTTATCCTTTCAAGATGTTTTAATAGTGGAGATTTGGCTGCAGATTTGCAACCACTTTTCTTACGTGCATGAAAAAATACAGGCTTGAGCAATAAGCATTGCCTCAGTAGTGAGTCTACGACAAGTCACTGCCAAGTCCAAGTCACTGTGCATCAGACGCACTGATGCAACAGATAGAATATCATTAATGCTTCACGTTGACGAGAAGCACAAACTTTACTCAGACAGTTTGACCTTAGAAAGATAAAAACCGAGTAGAACGGCTGACTGCCATTAAGTGATTACGGAGGAACGGCAGTAAATCAACAGACGGCGTTATTGCTCAACAGAAGGAAGCACCACAAACGACCCCTTGAAAGTGTGCAGGTGGGCGGGCAGATACGCTTCCTGTATACAGACACGTTCAAGAAGCGGCGCTGAACAGGGGAAGAAGGGTTGAACACGAGTTCATCTCTGACCATGAACGCAACCTCTCACTCACAAAATGAAACCCAAGACAGGATGTGTTTTTTTTTAAAAATTTGATCTTTATTTATTTCATGCCAGAAGCAGAACTCCGCGTGTACAGCGCTTCACTCGTTAATCACCTTGTTTTATGACCGTACTGTCCCTAAATGTAATCTTCAGACACATTTTGGAGTCCCTAATGATGCAGTTGTGTTTGTTTTGAAGCATTCTCCTTTTGCATACCAAACCGCCACATGTCTTGATTACCTTTTTTTCACCGTCTAATATGTTTGGAATGAGCTCTAACTGCCGGCATTGAAATGAGTTTTTGAGCAATTAGTCACACGTGTCTCGAGCTTTGACTGCTGATTGCCTGACACGACAGATGAAATTGCTGTGTACTAGACTCCTCTGTAATTGGTGCCAGATAACATAATTAAGAATAACAACCCTCATTAGCACAACTTTGAGGCGAGTGTCGCCCCATGAAGGAGAGAGACGTTTCAACTAGTTGTGTTTTCTTGTCACCGGCTTAATATCTTCATTGTTCGGAGGCTCACAAACACCCTGCTGCTGCTGCTGCTGTGTGTGTACAAACAAATCAGACATTTTTCATCCTTCTCAATGCTTTGTCTTTTCCTCCGACCTCATTAAACCTCATTGTGTGGAGGATAATTTAAAGCTCGCCTCGGCCACAAACTGTGCTAACATGTCGGACGAAGGTGACAAAATAGTTAACGGGACCATAAAGCACTGTTATTACAATAAATAAGGAAATATGTCATGTGTTATGGGCTGAACACATGCGCTCGCTTGGCAGTTTATAGCAAAAACTAACGCAGTCTAGTACAACAGTCGCGCCGTAAATTGTCCCTTCGTGAAAGCTATAAGGAGAAGTGCTAAGATTAATGTGGAGGCTGCTGTTGGTGCTGCTGACAGGTGTTTCTATCATTTTGTCCACCTCATTAGTATCAGTGGGGTGTGGGCGGAATAATACACCGATAAAACACTTCTTTGTAGATATTGGGATAGATTTATTTCAGGTTTCTGAAGCACAGAGATGAATAAATCAGCTGTATGTATCATGTTTTAGAGCATCGGAGACTTCAAACAACAACAAAAGAAAAAAAAATGTGTACAAGCTGTGATGTAAAATTACAGAATGAACATTTTCAAGAATATTTTTTAACTTTAGAAGAGGAGGCCTCCAAACAAATCTCTTTTTTTCTTTCTATCTCGAGAATTGACAGAAATAAAAGATAAAAATATAAAAGCAAAAGAAGTCTTTCACTTTTTAAAATTTAACTGTGCAGCCATGAAAGTCATCCAGGCTGCATAACACTCCCACAGCAGTGTGTGTGTGTGTGTGTGGGGGGAAGAAGCATTCGTAGGAAAGCACCTAAAATTCACCTCCAAGGAGATGGAACATGAAGTGACATTTATAAATGAACACAGGCCATTTGTTTTTCTAAGGAACTGCCAAAAACGGGCCATCCAAATATACGTACAGATGGCTCACGGTGATAACTAGCTTATAAAATAACAATGCACTGCTGTAGAGTGAACTACCCGCCATCATATATTAAAAGACTAGACTCAATGAAAAACATCAACATGTTTTTCTGCTCGTAATCTGAACTTCAACAGAGCTGATAACATTAACACCAAACCGCAGCAGCAACAAGTTACAGAAATGATAAAAAGATCCCCTCTATTATTCCCTATTCAGTGTCTTATTTAGGGTCCTTGGCAGGCAGTAAAAAAAAAAGAAAACCCTCTTGCTTCAGGGGGCAAAAGTTTACGGATAAAAGGGATCACTCAGGAGATTACTCCCATGTACGTAACGCGGATGCCTAGAACACAAACAAAGAGCGTTATGTTGCTCAGCTGTATTTGTGTGTGTGAGAGCAAGTGCCTCTCCAAACTTATCCCCCACCATTCGCCTTTTTATATCGCCGAATGAAAAGCTGAGCTGCGTTTGTTTTCTTTGTGCGTATCCTCCCGCTGCCATAGGATTCTCCTTGTAGCTGTTTAAATGAAACATCTTTTTTTTTTTTTTTTTCATGCATCCACTCAGAGCAGTGTTTTTCAATCAGATTAGTACAGCACATTCTGTTCTGTTTCACTTCCTGATGACTGTGCAGCCTGTATCCCTGAATGAACTCACCCGCGTGCTTCTGGTTACACCAAGACTCACACAGACATATTCTCGCAACTGCCTGTCAGATTTTTAGCACTTCATACAATATTTAGTGAACGTGTGAGGCGATTATCAAGAAAACCTGCTGCTTATTGGTTTTACATTAACAAAGAATACGTGACTTTGTTTTGATGCTGAAAGCTGAGCCGGCAACCAGTGAGAAGCCCTGAAGCTCAGAACGCAAGTGATAAATCCACATGTGTGTCTCCCACATATGCTTATTATATACATATGAAACAGCTGATGTAAATTACAACCATCTAATTTTCCTGTTTCCTACCGCACGGCTGCTTTCACCAGAACAGAAACAAGATGTTTGTGATGTTTCAGGAAGGGAAAACAACATCTCGAGCCGTGTGTCACTGTAGAAATCTATTTGTGCGTTTCTGCCCAGCTCAGCTCAGGTCAGCTCGGTTCATTTTGACCTCCGAAAAAGCACTAGAAGGCAGCAGGAAGTGCCAACGAAGCTACCAGGACGCTGCGGCTCAAGAGTTTGGGGGAAAAACAAACAAATCTGTGCCTGAGCCGGAGTTAACCGTCTTCAAGTTTTTCTTCTCCGTTTCTACGCTTTAGTTGTCTATGGGTTTATTTTGAATTGCTCCGGGTGGCCGATGATGCATGATGAGGTTGTGGTGGTGCTTTTAGAACACAAGCCCACAGTCATTGTGTTTCTGTTCTATTTTTTTTTTCTTTTTTTTTTTCGAATGAGATGTTCTAAAACGAGAGTGTGCGAAACCTACTTTCTTCCGATAAGCAGATGCTCAGCAGATTACTCAGCCAGTTGACAACATCCCTGTGGGTTTTGCAGAAACAGGTTCACTTGTGTTATGTCACCTTTATAATTAACAGGATCATCATGTTCCCTCCGACAGACGCCTGCTGTCTGCCAGCAGTGTGGTCAGACAGTGTCCTCAGCACCTCTGATTGTGGGATTCACCCACCAGGAACCGGCAACAAAGGTGTTTGAGCATTTCAGTTCAGGCATTAAAGAACAGTTTCCTCACAGGGTCTCGCATAAATAAACCTTTTTTGCTTATTGTCAGTGTTATTTTGAAGGTTTTAAAATGCAAGAGTGCAGTCGACATGAGCGCAAGAATCAGCCATAAAACATGCTATAGTTCAAACACTTCATGTATATTGGCGCACTGACGCCGGTATCCTCAGACCACAAAAGCACAAAAGCACAGCTATAAAAATCTTTTATGACTGTTATGGGAATTTGAGCGGCCCCTGCACACCGCCGATGTAAATGTCTGGCTTCACTAACCGCCTGAGTTCATCACTCGGATCCAGTTTTAAGCTTATCAAGTTTGCGTGAAATTATCAGCAGATCGCTCTCTTTAAACACGACGCAGCAGATAAGAGTCACATTGAAGTGGCTCAATGAAAACATTGGGTCTATATGCGGAGGGTGATTCTGGGGTTTCCACGTGGGGGAACGTCTCCTCACAGGCTGTTCTGAGTCTATATTTAGACAACTTTTGGGAATCGGGGATTGTTTTACTGGATTCATTAACAGTTAACATGACATCTGAACAGAGCCTCGACCTGACGACTGTGAGGAGTTGGATTGGCTCATAAATCAACTTTTATGACTTTTTTTTTTTTTTTTTGGCATATATTACATATAACCTCATAAACCAACTGCAAACAACCGTGCCATCTTTGATCAATTTTTTTTACAACAGCTTGTTAAAAAGCAAAAAAAAACCTTCAAATAAAACTGCTTTGTTGTGCGTCACGCTGTGTGTGTGTGTGTGTGTGTGCACGTACGGTTTGCAGATAGTGGTTCCTCAGTGCTTCCGTTACATTTCAGTTGAGCTTACTGTACTGCATTGTGTTTCCCTGATAACTGTCACCTTTTCTTTTCTTTTCTTTTCTTTTCTTTTTGCAGAATATTTGACTTACATTGACAACACAGGGAGCAGTTTTATTTTAAACTGACACTGAACGTGCAACTCTGACCTTTACTATCACCATTCACAGTAAGTAAACGTACACTCGAGCGGCTCTTTTTATTCACATGGCCACTTTTATTTGTCTTTACCACATTACAGAGACTCTCGTTAAAAAAAAAAAAAAAAGGCAATAAAATATATTGCATTACTGTTTGCATTAAAGTCTTTACAGGATGGATGAGGTTCTTTGCTGTAAGTTTCCACTTTGACAGCAGCAGCGAGCGCTTTCAGTCAGTTTTTACTCATACTTCATTACATTTATTACAGCAAAGTGCTGGTTGGAACATATTTATGTAATTAACTGCGCGCACACTTTTACTATAGCATTTAACTACATTTTTAGAGGAAATTACCGTGAGTTTTACTGCAAACTACTGTTTTCTTTGCAGGTTAATGTTTGATTTGCAGAGGAAGAGAGGTGGTTACACGTAATCACCACCTGGCCTACATTCGCCGCTTTGACTTATCATCTCACAAGTTGACAGGGACTAAGTTCACTCACCTTAACAGCGAGTGTCTCTATGTTTAATCCCCACGGGTGTTTTAACATCAGCAGCTTTTCTCCTCCTGACCATATGGATGATATCTGGGACTTGAAAACAAACTCTTGTTTTCTTGGCAGAGTGAAGGTTTGACTTAAGGGCTTTAAACTTTACCTGACAGCAGGTTTATATGTTGTCATTTAGCTCTCTGACAGGGATTCATTGTTATGTGCTTTAATAATGGCAAGATGGAAACCTAATGAGTCTACAAAGGCAGTGTGTTAACGCAACAGGTTTGCAACAAAAAAAAAAAAAACAGCTGCTTGCATAAACAAGAGCTCTTGAATTAAAAAGAAAAAAAAAAGCAGAAATGAAATATCTACACAACATCAGAGGCTTAAAACATGAGCCCAGGCTGCTTGTGGTGATGTTTTGCTCCTTTCTAGCTTTACATAAAGAGATCACCACAGTAAACACCGCGGTAATGTAAACACTGGCTGTTTGGGAAAAGATGACAAATGATCTCCACCCAGGCACAATAAAGGAGAACCAGGCAGCAGCAGCAGCAGCAGCAACCAGCAGCAGCAGCGAGCAGCAGATAATAATAATAATAATAATAAATCTATTTATCCCTACCTACCGTGATGAAAAATCAACTAAACATGTCCGGTAAACAGAGATAGAGGAGGAAAAAAAGAAAAAAGGCGGGTGGTGGTTGTTGTTGTTTTTGGTGGTTTGGTTTTTTTTGGTTACCGTCCCTTTACTGACACAGTAATCCGTCTGAGCGCGCGTCTCATCGGCCACTGAGGTGTGCTTTTATTTCGGTGCTTACACATCCCCGCCCGTGCGCTCATGATATGTGCCGTCAGCTGAGCGCGCGCAGAGAGAGAGAGAGAGAGAGAGAGAGAGAGAGAGAGGACAGCCTGCTGCGGTACAGCCTGTTCCCGGCCCTGGCTCGGCACGGAACGGGTTACAGGGTCAGGGTGTCTATTGGAACACAGTGTTCTCATCAGCGGCGGCGGTGTGGTACAGCTACAGTACAGCCGGAACATTGTGTTACTTTGTGGCTGCTTTCCAAGACCTGCCCTTAATTTTACACTAAACGCCCTCCCACAACTCTACACGTTCCTTCTCCTCCTCTCTCTCTCTGTTCTTTTTTCTCTCTCTCTCTTCTTCTCCTCCTCTTTCTCTCTCTCTCTCTCTCTCTCTCTCTCTCGTGTGCCTCTCTCTTGCCTCTCTACCTCCCCGTGTCATTTTCAAGTCTAAGCTCCATGTGGCTACTACTACTACACCGGCATCGTCACCGGAGCGCAAAAGGCACAAAAGAGGAGGCGAGAGGAGGGGGAGATAAAGCGGAGACCCAACACCCAGAACATTTAGTACCCTGGATATGAGACGAGGAGGGAATTAGGAGAGGAAAAAGAAAAAGAAAAAGAAACCAAAAATATATCAGCTGCTCCACCGCTCGACTCCTGGAAGATTTTTTTATTTTTTTCCTTTTATGTTAAAAGACCACCAAGGAAAAAATGTAAGTCAATTTATCCTCCTCTTCTTCTTCTGCTGCGTAAAAATACTAATTAAGGAGTCAATTAAGACATAATGCTTTCCTTGCGTTTTTTGTATTTATTTATTAATTAATTTATTTTTTTTACGTGGTTTTATTATTCAGTCTGCTCCGGTTAGAATAAAAGAGCAGGAGTGCATGTTGATCCATAGGATGGATGCTGAATTTGCCACACGTGTGGGGGCATTTGAGGTTACAGCTGTATCCTACTGCGCTCTGGAAAAAATAAGGGCTGATAAAAGGCTGTGTGTGTGTGTGTGAGTGTGTGTGTGTGTGTGAGTGCAATGAATGTGGCACTTGGCTGTGCTGTCTCAGTGGAGGTAGATGAGGACAACAGTTTACATCCAGAAGCCCTGTAGGCTGTAGGTGTATCTCCGTAAATTACAGGTTGTGTAACTGTTTTTCTGAGAATTATGACTTCATTTTTTTATTTTTTTTTTGTACCAAGTTGCACATTACAGGACACGACGGTGGCTTGTGGGTAACTTCAAAAAAAGCACACCGTGCATGTGTTTGGGGTTTTAGTCTAAGAAGGTGGGCAGATGGAAGCAGATGTGGCCCTCCTGAAATGGACTCGGGTCCCACAGATGAATCAGACCGCCTCGGGGGGAGAGAGTTAATGAAGATAAATGACTTCTATGTCCAAGAACACTGAAAGATAAATAATTCAAAAGCCACCACGGTGTTGCCTTACACCTGAAAAAAGAAAAAAACCCAGAGTTTAAGGTTTGCAGCTTCAGTTAAAAGTAAAACCTCTGCAGCTTCCCCGACAAAAACACGACCCCCGTAAAGTTCACAACATCACTGGAACACCCTGTGATGGGGGCTGTAAGGTGCAAATAAAACAGCACAGAACAGAGGACTCCCTCATGTTGGACAATGCTCTGCTTCAGGATGTCAGCGTATAGGTCTGCCATGCACACTGTGTACTCACATGTTCACATATGAATCAGCAGCGGAGTACGGATGTGAGACAGAATGTACAGATACCGAGTGCGTCTGTGAATGTGCTGTTTGCCTCATTGTGTTCTTGTTCCTGCATTCCTCCGCAGGGTATCAGAGTTTAGGTACGTCTAGCCTACATGCCTTCTGAATTTGTAAATATTTGCATCCTGATTTCCCTCTTGTCAGTGTTTACTCGTATGATTCATACAGAATAAGCACAAAAAAATATAAATGGTACAATTGATTGCACAGGTAACTTTTACTTATGAGAAATTAATAATGATGCACTTCATCGTATTTATGCCCCGTTTGATTTATCCAAATTAAAATCACGTGCTAATCCAAATATAAAGGTGGGCTTAATTTCACTAATTAACGTCAGCTTTTCTTTGTTGTTTTTTGTCCAAAATTTGAAGCTGGGATGTATGTGAGGGGGTCTCAGATTGGTGAACACCATCAGGCTTTGCCAGCGGGGAACTGTGAATAGAAGGAACATTGTGTTCAGACACACACACACACACACACACACACGAACACACACACACACACTCACGCACACACACACATGCACGAGTTGCATCTAAAATAAAATCCATGAAATTTAAAAGACACAGGACAAGGTGCTGCTGCTGCTGAGAAATGGATATTTTGCGCTGCTCTTGCATTGAAGAGTTCAAACACTTGATCTGCTGAAAGTGGCACCAAACTGAAGGAGCAGGATAAATTGTGCAGATGTCAAAAAAGACAAATCTTTGTGGTGTCCCCCTCGTGGGTTTAAGGTCTAATTTGTTGCATGTGGATACGAGTCAGGCCAGCTGCTCGACGCTTGTATTTACACGCTCTTTAAGAACTGCAGCAGGACATCTTTTTTATTTGCATCTGGGATGTGAAGAGACGGGACAGCGGACGGAAAAATCCAGAAAAACTGATGCAGGGGGACGAGGAGCTGCTGTTCCTCTCTGTTAGAACAACCTGCCCCTGAGCAAAGTTTAGCCTCAAATCATCTCCGTGGAAATGTTAAGTGGCTGCTGCTGCTGCTGCTGCTGTCTGCTGTCCGAGCAGCGGCTGGCGTAGCCCACCCTGTCCCCCACCGTACTCCCCGTGGCCTCGGCAGTAAAGAGGGTTTTACGTGAGGAAATGTGATTTAAATGTGTTTTTGAATACAGAAGCAGAACAGCAAAGGTCTAGCTACACTTCAGGACCTGAACTTGGGTGAGAATGAAGGTGTGATGTGGTTAAACATCGGTGAGATAATCCCACATCCTTATTTATGCAGCTCCTCGTACAAACACAAATAAACACAGAACACAGGCTTTATTTAAACCTTTCTCTCTATGGATTCACACAACCAGCATGCATTCAAGCCACTAATTAATTAAAATCAGAACACTGTTTGCTTGCAGTATATCCCTTTTGAAAAGAAAGTGTCCTGTCTTCTTTGTTTGCACTTGTTGGTCAGTGTGAAAAACACAAATCGCTCGTCCAAGTGCTGAGTCCAAAAACTGCTTTCTGCCTCCCAAAAACTCTCCACACCAGAGAATCCTCTCTTTAAAAAAATTACTTCATTATGTTTAGAAAAAGTACATTTAGAGTCCAATTTGGCCGGATACCTGTGCAGACGAAGAGGCTGTTTTAGCTAAACAATGTTCTAAATTTAATAATGTTCTTACAGGGAGAAAGTTTGCGAGTCTGTGAGAAGCAAAAAAAAAACATTTGGTGGTCTCGCCTGACGTGTCTCATTGTAAAAGTTATTGCAATTTGCAGCTCCGGCCAACAGCGCTAACCTTAGTAACATCCCGACACGGAGCCGAGCAGCTGTGATCTGATGCTATGTGAGCAAGTGTTAACGACTCAGCTGCTGCATGTGATAATAATCAGCGGATAGTGTTGGCCAACATGCTTAACATAGCTAAGTAGCTTTTTTCATTGTCTTCAGACAATGTCAAGATTATTGTGTCGGGGCGGGCTGCGAGTCGTGCGTATTGGTGCAGAAACATGCAGATAACAATTGCTGCTGCTGTGATGAGAGAAGCAACATTTAGCAGCTGTAACACCAACATGTAATTACAGTTTTATTGCTCTGGCAAAGTCTTGTTGCCACACGGAGGCGTGAAATGCTGGCAGCAAACTTCTATCTATCTGTCAGTCTGTCAGGATGGATATCGAAGGATTTTTTTGGTAGAAAAATTGTTTCCTTAGGTGTCAAATGGTGTGTTTGCTTATTATTTCCTATCACTGGTTTATGACTTGACATCTGACTACTTCTTGTATTCTGGCAAGGCGCTTTCGCAACTGCTCGTCTTAAGACAGCGTTTCATAATTGAGAAGATTCGCTGCTTTTGTTAAAAATAGTGCTGTGGAAAACAAGCCTTTTATTTGCTTGGTATCAATGCTAAAATCTCTCATCTTTGGCTTCTTTATGTCAAAAAAGTACGACATCTGATCATTTAGGTGTCACGAACAAACTCTTTTCCTCTCCTGGCACGAGTGTCAAAAAATTAAAACGACACACTTGGAATTATTCTAAGTCCGCTGCCTTTGAGGATCGATATCAAACATCAGTACCTGCTTGATCAAAAATCTGCCAACATGTGCAGCTTCTTTCTTAATTAAATTTGTCTTCATTTTTAAAATTTGGTGTCTTAAAACTTTCGATTTGTTTTCTTCATGGTGGAGTCTGTGATTCTGGAAAACGACCGTTGGTATTCAGGTAGTTTGCATGTTCCAGATTTACAGCCCCTCTTCCTCCCCCCCGTCTCCCTCGAGCTGTGCACGAGCTCAAACGTGCACGGGACAGTGTTGTGTAAATTGGTCCGAGCCACTTATCGGTCCTATTTTCAAGGCTGTACACTGAGACCAGATTTTTTTTTCCTTTCAGTGCACACAGAAGCTACTGGAGGTATTCACTGAATCTGACAATTAGATTAGAGTAGATAAAATAAATCATATATCTCTAAGTAAGTCTCCACAATAAAGATCTGATCCTACAAACCAAAAGCTGACTATCACATCAGCACTAAATAAAAATCTATCAAGGGAATCAGAACTTTGTGCTGAATCTGTTGTAATAAAAGTACAAGAAGCTGGCATCACACACCTTGACACAGTATAAAGTATATCTCTATAATAGTGTTTAGCATTAGTTTATAAAGACTTTGAAATGTAAAAAGATTTTTAAAAAAAAAAATAAAGGGAAGAAAGAGAAGTCTTAGTCCGATTTATATGCTCTTATTTTGGTAAGCAAGCTAGTTTAATTATATGCAATGTGTGTATTTAGTAAAGCAAAATGTAAGAAAACACAAGAAATAGAGATTGTTGTGCAAGCAGGATCCTTCGCTGTTTGTTTTATTCGTCTAAAACAGTCAAATAAATGACAGAAAAGCTGAGGAGAGTCTACATTTGAGCTGTATCTCAGCATCGCCAGACAAATCCTGATAAGGTATTATATCAGTGCATCACCCCAGAGCCCTGGTCAGAACCAGCATTTTCACCTGTGCCACCCTGAACACAGAGACAGATAACTCTGTTTGTGATGCTGCAGCTTTATCAGCGCAGCGTGGTGGAGCCCACGCTTTACCCCGCGCATATGAGGCTTTTTTTGTAAGAGATACAATCTGGAATAGCGTCGAGATGCTTATTAGAAACCCAGCGATGGGGACGTCTTATTCTGAACGAGGTTCAACTGTGCTGCGGATTTAATTTCGGTGCCCGTGAAATACCCAGATGTCATTTATAGACTGTCAAAGTGCACAAAGGGCCATAAAGAAATAGCGCCGCACATACTGTACCTCGGCGAGTACAGCGTGTGTTACAAAATACAATGTGTGAAGTAACATGCTGCTGCCTTTAGGTTCGTAGTTATGCAATTATCTGTGAAACTGAAACTGGAAATATATTTCTAGTGCTGGACATAGATTTAGAACACGTGTCCTTAAATAGCTGCAGCTTACGTAATGTGGTGGAAAAAGTCATATTTACTGGGTGGATTGTGGAGATCTCATTGATAGTTTTTATCCAGGATTTTTTTTTTTTTCCAGTCCTGCTCCTTGTTTTAAATTCCCAAAGTGAAATAAGGAGAAACAAGGACGTCTGATTAAAGGAGCTTGTGTGTTTGTGTCTTTTGCAGCAGCGTTACTGTGTGATGCCCACACGCAGAAATGACCACTGATCAAGATTTGTCTATGGACGGCCAGTCAGCCAGAGCTGTTCTCGCTGCAAAGGGCATCGACGTAACACCTGATAAAGACCAAGGAGTTATCAAGGTATTTATTGTCCTTGCTGGAATGTGTTTACCTTTTTTTCTACACGGTGAAGAAATAAAAAACCCCAGAGCGATCATATGTAACTTACACTGACTGTTTACTCTGAAGTTCCTGGAGAAGCTGGGTGTTTTACCAACAGCGTCCATGATTAACTCACTCGCAGCTCTCTCCATGGCGAACATCTCCAGGAATGTTTGAAGTCACACTTCCTCTTTTAGCTGATCTGCCTCCTTCCACTTCGTCGCTATCAGTCTTCTCGCCGTCACGCATCCGGTTGTTACTCTTTACATTGTTGTTGTTGGACCAGGTTCCTTCAGCAGTGCAATTACAGAGGTACATTGTTGGATCACAACCAACCGCACTGCCAAGAAGCTTTCCCAGGGATTGCGTAACACTCGAGTGCAAGCGAACACCATATCATAAAAAGTGCCTTTATCTTGTTTGCAATGACAAAAAAAAGTCCAGAGCTAAAAATAACCCGTCCTGGGCAATCCAACAGGGGCTCGAATGAAATTACAATTGATCGTTTTGTTCTCGAGCAATTTTAATGTTCTGTGAAGTGCTTTCTAGGCATGATCCCGTTCTCCCTCAGAGTCAGATCATTGCTTCACATTTTAACATTTCATGGTAGACATTGGGACTCGTTTTGTCGGCTCCTCTTTGGATCTTCCAGCTGCTCTGTCCTTAATTTTCTCTGTCCAGCGGTCAGTTGAAGTGGAAACATGTCTCTTGTCTGCAGGTGGTGAAACGTCAGGGACTAGATGGAGACCGGCCAATGATCGGGGACAGAGTGACAGTCCACTACACTGGGAAGCTGCTCACGGGGAAGAAATTTGATTGCAGTCGTGATCGCAAAGAGCCCTTTTCCTTCAATGTAGGCAAAGGTAGGTGACTTTACATTAATGCCAAAACTGCTTCAGCTTCAGGGTGGTATCTGACTTTGAATGTTTGAAAATATATTTAAGGAAATTGAATGAGGCAGACGTCACTCTCATTTCAGTTCAGTGAATATGAAGCTTCAGGCAGCTGCTGGCTAGCTTAGCATTAAAAGAACTAGCCTCGCTCTGTCCATCAAAATCCCTCCAATCAGAGCTCATGAGACTTAACATGTTATATTTTTATATTAAGCCTAAGAATAGTCTGCCACATGAGCTAACCCCACCACACTTGGGCTAATCCTCTTAACCCCAAGCAAATTCGGGGTGTATTTTGGCTCCTGTCACATTTTTACTCGCTGTGTGCTCATTTTTCACAGAAATATAAAATCCTGCACCTCTACAGAAACAAGTAGAGGGAACTCTAAAATGTCTTCTGTGCAGGATGACACAGCTACAGTGCCGTAAATCATTAAAAAAGAAAAAAAGAAAGTTGAGCTTCGTGGATGATTGATTTTTGCAAACATTAAAAAAAAAACTAGAATCATACCATATATGTCCACATGTGTTATTAATAAAAATGGTGGCTCTAGGATGCTGCTATAGCTCACCTGGTTGAGCTGGTATCCCATGTATCCCATAGCCCCTCTATGGTCCCCGATGTAGTGGTCGTGGGTTTGAATCCCACTTATGACCCTTTGCTGCAGGTCCTTCCCCCATTCTTCTCCCTCCACTTTCCTGTCTCTCTCTCTCTCTGTCCTATCCAATCATAAAGGCCAAAAAATGTCTCTAAAAAAAAATAAAAAGGTGGCTCTACACATGACAGATATTTAACCATTCCTATTTTTATTTTGGTGCATGTCTCCTCTCAGGTCTTTGTAAAAATGGAATTTTTGTATGAGACTGTTGGTCACACCTGATTCACTGATCTTGAGTTTTTTCCCTTACGTAGAGCCAAGCTGGTTGTTTATAGATCTATGCTAAGCTAGGCTAACATCTTCTTTCAGCAGCACCATATTTCACAGACAGTGGTATCAATCTTTTCATCAGCGCCACAGTGATGAGAATATCTTCACCAACATGATGATCTGTCCCTTTGAATTTTAATCATTTCTTGTATATTCAATCTTTGAGCTGGTTTAATGAATCCACAGATGTTATTGTTTTTTAAATGTGTCCCATCCATTCTCCCAGGACAAGTCCTCAAGGCCTGGGACATCGGCGTGCTGTCCATGCAGCGAGGAGAGGTGTGCACGTTCTTGTGTAAGCCAGAGTACGCTTATGGAGCTGCTGGAAATCCCAACAAAATTCCTCCGTGCTCTTCAGTGGTGTTCGAGGTGGGTACGCCTGCAGCGTCACTGCTGCCTTTTGCGCCGTGCATTAATTCTGCATTGCACCGAGGGACTCCGATAATTGAGGAGTACGTCTCATGTCTCCGCAGATAGAGCTCTCTGGTCATAAAATTAACTGGTTTGTCTATTTTAATCCTGCTCACTCAAAGAGCCAGTGCAGTCCAGTCTCTGCTCTTACTCCGTCTGGAGCTCAATGCGGATGCAAATCGGATTTCTCTGTCCTCTGTAATCGATGATAATTATAATTCAATACGGGGAAAACTCTAAAGAGATGTAGCCAGCTGCTCTGCTTTACAAGTTACCCCCCTGTGAGCACAGTTTATTCATAACAGTGAGCACTTTACCCCCCAGTTTGCACCTTTTGTCAGTTCTGTAATTGCAAGCGACAGATGAACTGTGTCAGATGTTAACAAGCATTTTACAGCGAGGCGGCAGCTTCACGTGTGACTGATCTTTATATGCTGCACAGACAGACCTATTAAGGTTATATTAGGTTATAAATAAATGTATTTTTTCCAGTGAGTGAGTGTCCATATGTGGAGGCTGGTAGGGAAATTGTTGTCAAAATCTAAAATGTTTATGCTAACAATAACCATATTATCATTATAACACTTAAGCATCGCCTTACAATAAAAATACAGTGAAGTAAAGTTTAGTCTAAATCCCACTGAAGGTAAGGTCGTTGCAAACTCGGTTCAAATTTTGTGTAACACCACAGAAGTTTATTTTAAAAACTAGCAGAGATCCCAAAGCTTCTAAAAGACACCCAGGTCAGTTTGAGGAAGTTGTGTCTAAAATGATGCACGAGGCATCAGTAAAGTCTTGGATAAAATTATTTAGCATCAATAAAGAGCATATATGTATTTATATTGATGCTAAAAAGGTGGAACTCGCCTAACCTGAACCCAATCAACTGCAATATTACAATCTACCTCGCTGCTACACAATGTTTAGTACTAAACATAACTACTTTTGAATTTCTACTCTTTACACTTATATTGCTTTTTTACTTATATTTTGCTCTTGTTTTTATTGTACTTATTATTTATCAGGTTTTTTTCCTAAAAAAAAAAAAAAATCACAGGACCTGAGTACTTATTTTGTACCACAGACATGTGAATGTGAGCTGGCGTGACAAATAAAGTTCCTTGAATCATAAAAACAACAACAGCTGGATTCTGAAATTTCTGACTGTTCTTCAGCTGCTCATATGAGACATTTAAGTTCATCATATCTAAGCCTAAAACTGTGATATTTCATCACAATTACTTTATTTTACATCTCATTTAAGCATTTGCCATAAAAAATAAACTGTGTGCTCAAACCAGATTTTGTAAATAAAAAAAAGAAGAAAATAGAAGAATTTTGTGCCTCATTGTGCAACTGGAGAGCCATGACTGACTCAGCTGTGAGCAACAGTCATGGAACAAAAATTCAGGGACTTTTAGACTGAAATGGGCTCATTTTTCCTGATTTTTTTTTTTGTAAAATAAGTAAAGATATTCAGTTTACACATTTTCCTCTTGTATGGTATTATATCGATGTCATACTGCACCTAATACATTTTTGAGTTCATTCTGCTTTTAGCCATGGTCGTACTGGTTTAACTCTACTCAGGACTTTCATGTAGCCATAACTAGAAAGTCTTTCGGGACCCCAAGAAAGAAAATGGGCAAAATATTAGTTGGTATTCATTATAGACTTTTATACTACGTTAAATACCTTTTCTGATAAGTTGACATATTTTTGGTTCTAAATGCATGACAAATGTCGCTCTTTTTATATTTAAAAAACATCTTCAAACATAAACAAACACAATACCTGTAACCTAAACCAAATGGCCTGGAGTCCAAAAGACCCCAAAAGTCCTGAACAGAGTTAATAGAGGTGCAGGACTTTATGTTTCAGTGACAAATGAGCCAAAAAGTGAGTAAAAATGTGAGTAAAAACACCCAGAAAGCCAACGAAGTATAAATAAAAGGGGTCAAACCTGAGAGACATTAGCTGGTCTCAGCTGGCTGGTCCGTTGTATTCACCCTATTAGAAGCTTGTCTGATTTCACGGCGTACTTTTATCTCCAGCAGTCATTATTGTCTTATTTTCTGCCGTGACTCCTACTGATTTTTCGTTATGTATTTGGTCTTCTCCTCCCACACCCACTGTAGCACCATACACTAAGCTCTGCAGAGACTGCCTTATATCACTATTTGTGAAACAACAGTGATGAAACCAATTTTCACCACAACACAGATGGAGCTGCTCAAGTTCGAAGGAGAGGCGCTCACGGACGACGGCGGCATCATAAGAAGAATCAAGGTCAAAGGAGACGGTTACACTAACCCCAACGACGGAGCGAGTGTTGACGGTAACAGCCTTGTTTGTTTCTTAGACAACTGTGGACAACCAGTGCGTTAAACTGTAGCATCAGAGGTTAAACTGTGTCACGCGTCCCACAGTGCGCCTGCAGGGAAGCTGTGGCGGCCGGTTGTTCGACTGCAGGGACGTCAGCTTCATTGTGGGCGAGGGCGAGGACAAAGGCATTCCCCTGGGAGTGGACCGAGCCCTGGACAAGATGCAGAGAGGAGAGTGCTGTTTACTTTACTTAAAACCAAAGTAAGTCACCGAACAAGCCTCAAAACTCCGTCTGCCGTCTCGATGTACATACAGTGAGCGGGGCGCCTCTGCGGGGCTTCTTTGTGAATTATCTCAGCTGGGTGTTCACGCTGCGTCGGCTCATTCAGCGCACTTGTAAATGCACAATGCGATTATGTCCCCCCGGAACTTGTTGCTCGACGGGACTTACAGTAAGTGTTCGTACGGGTGGCCGGATGGGGCCGGTGGAAAGCTCTTGGGCGGATCGGAGCTGAATTTCAGGAATTCAGTGATGCTGTTGTTGTGTAGAGGCGAGTTGGTCGGTGTGAGAGTTCAGAAGTCACACACTGATGGAGTTTATTGTCTGATTTTACAGTTTTTAATGATGTGATGTGCACATGTGGGTTGTTAGAAGATAAAAGTTTCCATACAGACAAGACAACTGTGTTTATTTTCTATATATTTTTTGGGCTTTTTGCCTTTATTTAGAGCAGTAGAGAGAGAAGGAAAGGGGTTAGAAGAATGGGAGACCTGCAGCAAAGGGTCATGAGCGGGAATCGAACCCACGACCGCTGCATCGGGGAACTACAGCCCTGTTCATGGGTCGCCAGCTCAACTGGGTGAGCTGTAGGGACGCCCCGTGTTTATTTTAGTACAGAAATGTTTAAGCATGTGTGATGATGATTCATTATTAACTTATGGTGCAGTAAAAGGTTGTTACCTGTTGCCATATTTTGGTGGTTATTTTAGAGATTAAAGAGGCAAAATCCTGCTGTGAAACAGAAGAAAATCTCCCCATGACAAACTCCTGACTTTAGCTAATGGGTCAGACTTTTCCGGTAAAATATTACCCAGCTGTTGTGGAGCTCTGGATTCGGCTGTGTGACGAATGACTTAACCGTCGTCTGTTTGTGTGGCGGCTCACCTGTCTGTACACCGAGTACACTGCGAGATCCTGACTGATCCTGTCCTTCATGTTGGGGATGATTTAATAATTGATGGAGTTACTGCTGTTATGTCACATGAGAAAATGTGCGCTGCGACTCACATGCTGCTGCTTGATGCTGCGTCTATGTGGTAAACGTGTGACTCGATTCAGCTCCTGTTGAGGTTTCGCCAAACCCAGATCACATCTATTATTATTATTAGAATCTGACATGACTCTGCCTTCGTTGTCGCAGACGTTTGTGAGAGAAGTCAACATTTCTGAGAGATGTTCTGTGATTCTGGTGAAGCCTATGAGGGCACCTCTGTCTGCTGAAGTCGGCGTGCAGACTGTGTCTTTTGTCCTCTTTGGTATGTTCATAGACGAGTCGCTGCTACGCGTCACTGTTGCTGGTCAGCTCATGATGCTTTCACTTGCGCTGGGGCGCCGTAGTTGCATTCACGGAAACTTGGACATTGTGCTTTTGTTGAATTTGCTTCAGATGTTGGGTGGCCACGGGGGTCCCAGCGAGGTTTCAGGGTGGTTGTGGCCAGCATTTGAGCTTTGCTGTACATAGAAACGCTTAATTTTGTGTATTTTTCATGTGTGTTTGCAGTCAGAAATCGTGACGTCTTTACACTGCTTCAAAACTGAAATCAGTCCCAGTAATAATGAATAGTGTGGATGTGGTGCTGATTCTGGCTAAATGATGTACCTAACTGGTCAAAAACCTACTTGCACAGCAGTTTTGATGTCAGGATCTCATTTCAAAAGGCTCGAAATGTATCATCAGTTCTGCTTTTTGCTCATTTCTTGTCATTCAGTTCATGTATTTTTATTTGTCAGGATTTTGCTCCCCTTTTTAACATTTTTTTTATTTTAAACTTAAGCACCAAAATCGGTGGAAAACAAATGAACAAAACACAGAGTCAGTGCTGCCCAGACCGCACTGTATCACTCCCTAAATTTAAGTATTGCATAAATCAAATAGACAGCGATACAGAGGAATTATAAAAACAAATAGTACACAGTGTACTGCCCTAACCACATCATATCATTCCCATAACCGTGCCCACACCAACCCTCCCCGTCGTCCCTTCAGGCAAAAAGCAAAACAAAGTACTGATGATAAGTACTAGGAATTCGTAGCACAAGGAGTTCACGCTGAGGGTTCAAGTAGTCGACTAGCACGGGAACAAACCTGAAGGGAGGAAATAAAGAGATTCAAGGAAAACAAGCTTCTACAGTTCAAATAGGCAAAATCCATATTTATCTCAAGAGAGGAACTTTCCTATCTGTGTCTGCAAATGCAACAAAAATCCTTTTTTTTTTAAAGACAAACTACTAAATTTCCTCAAATGCAGCATGTATGTATTTATACCATAACTCAATCATTTCCACTTAATTGATTTTTCCAGTTAAAAAACGATCTCTGCTTGCAAAATGCACACATATGGGATTTGTTTTATATTAAAAATCCTCGGATATAAAATAGAAATTCTGCGTCTGAACACGAGTGTATTGTTCAGTTAAGTCATGTCGTTCTTTTCATGAATTCATCCCCCCCCAAAAAATAAAAGCAGATTTCATTTACATCTTTGCATTTTGAACCAGTGTTTCACATCATCACTGTATTCTGACATGCTGGGAGTTTTCAGCAGCGGTTTGAGTCGTGTTACAGATTCTTTCTCTAAATGTCATGTTTCAAAATAACTCTTTTTGTTGTTGTTTTCAGTTCTTCAGTGTTTTAACCAGGCTCATGTTTTGTTTTTTTTCCTCGTTCACAGATATGGCTTTGGAAGCGAAGGTAAACCAGAGTGCAAAATCGGACCAGACAAAGACGTGGTATATGAAGTTACCCTCAAAGACTTTCAAAGGGTGAGCTCCTGCTTTTTAATGAATAACATCCTCCATCACGCATGTGTGTCATCTCCATCATTTCATACCGTTAATTCACTTTCTGCCGATTTCCAAAAGGCTAAAGAATCCTGGGAAATGGACTTGAGTGAAAAGCTGGATTTGGTCGGTGACGTGAAGAATAAAGGGAATCAGTATTTTAAGGTACAGGCCCCTCCGCTGGTTTTACATCCTGTCAGAAGCTTGTTTTTTTTCCTGTTTATAATTTGTTCTTATGTTCCTCTCTCAGGCAGGGCGGTACTACCAGGCTGTCATCCAGTACCAGCGCATCATTTCCTGGCTGGAGATGGAGTGCGGTTCTGGGATCGAGCAGCAGAAGAGGATACAGGACTACATCGTGACAGCCCACCTCAACTTGGCTCTGTGTTTCCTGCGGATAAAAGAGTTTTCGCAAGTGGTGGACAACTGCAACAAGGTGAGCTGATGACAGTCGGTCCCTCAGTGGAGCTGCTGGATAAATGCCCAACTGTCACTAATACACTCCTGCTTTGTGTCAGGTAATCGAGCTTGATAAGAGCAACGAGAAGGCCTTGTACCGACGGGGGGAAGCCCGGCTCCTCCGCAACGAGTTCAGCCTGGCCATGGCGGACTTTCAGCAAGTGCTCCAAGTCAACTCCTCCAATCGTGCGGCTCGTGCTCAGATTTCCATCTGCCAGAGCAAGATTAAGGAACATCACGAGCAGGACAAGAAAACCTACGCCAACATGTTCCAGAAATTCGCAGAGCGGGACGCCAAGGTCTGTAAAATCACTGCTCTTGGCTAAATGCGGAGCGTGTTGTCAGCCTGTTTTCGTGCTCTCCTCTTCCCCACTTTTTCCTTTTCTTTCTTTTCTGCTGTTGCTTTTTCTGTTCATTTTCTCTTCCTCCTGCTTCCTGGAGTTTTACTGACAAACTGACAGTTGAGACGAATCACAAAAAACTGCACCCATGGGATTCATTTGTATTTACACGAGTAGACAAAGACAGTTAAGCTTCACCTTTACAGTCACTAAGAAGTGGAGGTGTTTTATTTCAGCACAGACTGAAACAGAACGAAATCTTTTGGTTTTTTCCAGCTGTGGAAGCGACGTAAGAGGCCTTTTAGGGCACATCTGATTCCTGTAACTCGTTTCCAAATGAGCACGTTTACCTTTCGTTGAACTAATGTTCGGCCATTTTGGTGAGAGTTACTGATCCATCCCACCGGTTAACTGTTCAGTTAACGTTCTGGCAGTCGATTGTGCTTCTGTATCGTCCTCCTGCTTCGACAGTGTTATGCTGACCTCTAGTGTTCAGGCTGAGTTTCTCATCTGTTGATGGTTAAAAACAAAGTCAAGAGCAGTTAAAGCAACAGCACGATGTCGTCTTCATTTACTGAAATTAAAATAATATTTACCTCATTTTTGGACACACATTTTTATTATTTTTGTTTTTAAATAAAATGGACTAATTACTAGGATGTCCATCATTTACAGTCGTCCTCAGATGTATTCATAGCCTCACAAAAAAAAAAAAAAAAAAACAGCTGTCAGTGAAATAAGAGGAAATTGACAAAAATAATAATAAATAAAAATTTTATGAAAATCATGACATTGTTTTTGAATTGTGGTTCAACAGAAATATTTTTTAAAAAAAAAAAAAAAAAAAAACAAGAAGGAACGCACAAACAAACAAATAGTTAAACAAACAACCAAGCCAACCAATTATTTAAATTTTATTTTTACACCCACAACCCACAAGCAAAAAGCAAAATCACATTACAATAAATTAGAAAATAGCAAATTATTATTAATTATTAAGTTTCTAAGTATCTAAGTAACTAAGGGAAAATTGGGAATTAAGGCACGAAAAGAAAAACATGAAAACACATGAATCCACGTATTTCAGTCTGTCCTTATGTAAGAAGTGTTTGAAGAAATGCTCATCACCTGAAACGCTCTGTCTCCCGAACAGACGAGGAGGACGAAGAGGAGGCGGGACGACAGCGAGAGGAGCGGCCTGAACGGAGAAGTGGGCATTAAGCGGCGGCGGAGGAGTCAGGACTGCCTGTCGTAACAGTGACACTTGAAAAGGGAGAAGAGAAAAGCCTCCCTTTGCTTTCCAGGTCCAGGGAGCAGAGGCAGGAATGAAGTTGAATAAAAAGCCTCTAATCCAAACTTCTTTATCCCAAAATCCAGCGTGACCATTCCTGCATATAAAGTAGAGAGTAAGCAGGGACGTTTGCAAGCCAAACAGCATTTGCCCTGTCACGTGGCCTGTCGAACTGCCAGGACGAGGCTCCCAGTGGACTTAGTACTACAGAATCAGCCAGTTCAGATTGGTCGACACTTCTAGCCCCCTGCATTTTATTTGGAAAAACTATGGTTTGATTTTTTTTTTTTCCCTCAAAGAAATTTTTCCTTGCCGACTGTGTAGAGTTGAGATGTGCCTCCACAGTGTGCTTCTGATTCCAAAACCACACTTGTTGGTTTTCTGACTCGTGTTTGGTATATTCAGCCTTTTCCGGGGCAGCTGCGTGCATGCATCACGAGGTGTTTGGGATTCAGACTTGAAACTTTTGCTAATTTTTAAATGTGCAATATGTACTTTGGACAAAAAAGGTGTACCAAGGCCTGTTAGCTCGGCGCTAAGCTAAACAAAAAAACACAATCAATCCTACACTTCTGTTTTGTTCGCGACTTGTGTAGGCGCTTGCACAAACCTCATTTGGGAAATTTTTAAAAGTCATGGACTGAGAAAAAAAAAAAAATTCCCGACGTAAATGTTTAATATCGTCGTAAATCGCAGACACAAATCGTAATTTCTCACCAGACACCAGAAGTAAAATCTGAAAAAAAGCACAAACTACAGATTGTTAATTACACAAAATCATACAATTGTGGAAAATTGAGATTATTCGTAACATCTGGCTGTTTCCTGTGAAGCCAAATCAGCTCCCGTTCCTCCAAGCTGTGGTTCGGAGTTGTTATTTCCACAAAAATGTAAAATCGGGCGCTTGGTTTTGGGCGAGGATGAGGCATTGTTTTCCTACTATGGGCCAGACGATGGTCGTGCACTAAAATAATTTATTCCTGAATACATGCATGCTGAAATCTTGTATTTTATCCATTAACCACATCAGGCAGTAGTTTATTTACAAGGAGCCAGTCTTGTATTGTAGTTGATCAAGCGACGGATGATGATGATCGTCTGTCGGGTGATAAACAGGTGAATTCTGTGGACTGACGGCAGCTGCAAAAACTTTAATAAAATAAAATGTAAAAAAAAAAATTACAAAAGAGAAAATATACATATATAAAAATGAATGTTTTTCCGCTCCTAAGCTTCGATGGACTCTAGTGACTGATGACTCAAACTTTCTTCTTCTTCTGTTGCACTCATCGTAGGTTGATCCGTCAGCTGATTGCATTAAGAGCATGGCACAATCTCCGGATGCACATAAAGCCGTTACTCAGCATTATTTCTACTGATCAAAAGTAGTTATCATCGAAACCGACCGTGAAATGAATGCACCGCGTTTCCGCCTTTGTACTTAACAGGGTAGATACAGTAGTGAGCGATAGAGGGACATAAAAACTGCAATTTAGCTTTAAAAATAATCCGAACCACACTTTTCTTTTTTTAACAAACGTCATGAACTTTTTCTGCTTTGGTAATGTGATCAACTACATGACTTTACAATTGTGCAGTTATTATTATTATCATTATTATATTTGCCTCAGTCCTGAAACAGGTGTTTCTCTATTTCACACTCAATCTACTCTTTTTTTTTTTTTTTTTTTAATTTTTATTTCTAAGTGTGTGAATGTTAGTGTAGTGGACAATGATGCACTTTGGTAACTGTTAAAACCAACACTGTTATCTTTTCATAAAAATGTCTGGATGAAATCTAGACAATAATCTCGAGATGTTTTATAAACATATAGTTGGTTCAGAATGAAAACCTTAGCTGTCTTAAATATTTTGTGTGGAAAAAAAAAGAAGAAAAAAATCAACAGTGTGTGTGTGTGTGTGTCGATATATATTGTCGTATGTTAACAAGGTTTTTAAAAACAGCTTGTTGCTAAATGTTTTCAAGTACTGCTGGCTCTAAACATTCAGACATTTTGTACAGTGGAGACGAGCATGAAGTACTTTTTCTAGCCATTATAAATTGTATTTAAGATTATACGGACTATTTTACCCCACTTGTCAACTTGACAGGCCTCCTTCTGCTACGTTCATCACTTTGATAACTTTGGAAGAAAAAATAAATTCCAGGAGTTATTTTGACAAAGAAGCAGGATAAAAATAAAGCTGTGTGGGGTTGTGAAACTGCAGCATGGCCGACGTGAGATTTGGTTTATTACAAATTGAAGTGTTATGTCATGAAAAAAAAAGAAAGTGTTTACATGTTATCTGAAAGATTATCGCCCTGTAAAGAAGAAAAAAATGTGATCAATGTTTTAAACCGGCATTTATGCAAAAGAAATATTTTGAGAAAAAAAAAAAACAAAACTGCATATGGTACCTTTGTTCATGTCTTCTTTATATATTTTTTTATTTTTTTGCACTTTAAAAGCATTAAATAAATCCAAGAGTTGCATTTAAAGAGCGATGTCATCTGCAGGTCACTACATTACCGTGTAATTACATCTTTAAAGAGCGCTTTTAGCATCAGAATAGCTGTCATCAAAAAATATATGTATTTAAATGGGGAGACGTTTTTAGCTTTCTTCCAAAATTATGACATAAAAGTGCCTGAATCGGTATTTTTCTGTTCTGTAACTGAAAACCTTGATCTTGGTTTGTTCTATGTAGCACATAATCGATATTTAAATAGACACAGATCAGGCATATTTCAATAAATGTGAATCAGAGCTGCAGATTTATATCACAGCTCAGGTTTAGCTGCCGTGAACATCCTCAATCAGAGGGTTTGTTAAAGATGCAGTAACTTCCTGTTTTGGCCACTAGGGGGCAGTGGAAACAAGCTGTGACAACGATAAACATCTGAGCAAACGTTTGTTTATTTACATTCGACAGTTAATATTTTCATTCATCTTCCGCCGACTGTTTGAGCTGTTTTTGGTCTTTACCATCTCCTCAGAGAAATATTTGGCCCTTTATCAGCAAATGGCTCCATCAGGTCCACCAGTGATGATCGTCTAAAATATTGTTTATTGAGACTACACCTATGTTAGCGGGTTGGTTCTTCTGTCGTTAACAGTGATTCATCTGAAGTAGAAAGTACAGATTTCAGTTCTATCGCGTGGTCTTCAAGAGCTGATGGAGTTTCTGATTCCAATGTAGATTTTTCCGATCACCTGAAAGGCCTGTTTGTCCATCCATCCATCCATCATCTATACATCGTTTCATCCTCTCTAGGGTCATGGGGGGCTGGAGTCTATACCAGCTGACTCAGGGTGAAGGCAGGTTCACCTGAACAGGTAACCAGTCTATCACAGGGCTACACTTAGAGACAGACAACCAAGCACACTCACATTCACACCTACGGACAATTTAGAATCACCAATTAACCTCAACATGTTTCTGGACTGTGGGAGGAAGCCGGAGAACCTGGAGAGAACACACGCTGCACGGGGAGAACATGGAGACTCCACGCAGAAAGATCCCGGGTGTCCTCACTGGGATGCGAACCGGCAACCTTCTAGCTGCGAGGCAACAACTTGCACGACTGTTTGTGCACGTCAGATTTAAAACTAAAGAATTAAGGTCATGTAATACAGTTGAAAGCTCCAGAACTGCTACTGACTGGATGATGTAATGAGATGACCGAGGATGACCTTCAAACCTCCGCTGTCAGGCCAATTTGGATGAGATGCCCTTAAGTTACTCGAAGAAGAAAGAAAGAAAAAAAAAAAAAGCACGACAGCTGGATAAACTCCATCTGCTGTTTCCCAGCCATGTTAAAACCTCCTCGTGTTGGTGCATTTAAGGACACGAAGGTTCTCACATTAGGACTCTTTTAATAGCAACACTGAGCTGCAGCACTCGGAGAAGAATCTGCATCAACGAAACCAAACAGCCAACTTATTATGAACATTTTATTCACAATAACAAAGGTCAGACTTTGCTATCAAACGACGATAAACTGCTACGTGATTATTTAATGTTTATAAATGACTGAAGTTGTCTTATTGTAGCGTCAGATATCACGTTTTCTCTCCATTCAACTCAACAAATACCAAAAGGAAACCATTTCCACGAGCATTTAACACTTCATCACACCTGACTGCCTGGTTCAGGGATCACACATAAAGAATGGCACGTTGTTTAAGGATGTTTAAATCATGAGATTAATCCTACAATTCAGTCCATCGCACAAACATTTTCATTATTAAAACTGGATTATATTTAATCTGATCATGTCAATTTAAACATGAATTATTCTCACAATTTCTAAAAACAGACATTTTTTAAAAAAATAAGTCACTGATTGATTCATATTACAGCATTCGTATGATAAACATGAACCTATACTCTATAAAAACCTTCACTTGCCAACTCGATAAATGCTTATTCTGTATAAAAACTACAATTAAACACACTTAAAGAAGAGAGTACAGGAAAAATATCTCTACGTAACTGTCAAATAATCTCTTCTGATGCCGACCGGTGAAGCCAGCAGTCACTGGAATAATGCTCAACGCCAAACATGTAAATACTGGATCGTCTCCTGCCTAAAGGAGCAGTCCGTACACAATGTTTATGTCTCAGTAATCTGTAGAAACACTTTAGCGCTGGCTCGACTGCTGGCTGATATCTTTATTGCTCCACATCCTCCCTCCTGTCGCTGCTCCTTCAAATCAAACTAATGCCGCTCACAGAGACCTAGAAGTGACCGACGTGTTCAGTCTGTATGGCTTATTTGGCAAATGTTTATTAACTTTGCTCCAGACAGATATTCAACCAGTGGCCTGTAGCACGAAATGAGATTAGCGGTGAGATTAGCCGACAGGCAGCCAATCAGATCAGCGGAGGGACTGAGTCATCACTCGCACAGGACCTCGACAAAAGCAGTGAGTTTACAACAAGCGTCTCCAGTTCAGGTCTCATTATCAGACAGGTGCATGTAACAGGCAGAGGAGAGTTCAGGATGGTCGCATATGCATTCAGGTGCACAATGTTGCTTTAGTTCCTGAAGGGATTTCTGTCACTGCAGCTCAGAGCAACACGAGGCGACTTTGTGGTAAGTGCAAAGAAAGAAAGACACCTAATTAACAGTATTAATCCATAATAAACCGACGACTAATGAGCATTTGTGAATACAACATTTCGATAAGACACAACAAATCAGCCGTCAGCTGCTTTTCTTTTCTCCCACTTTGGCAGCAGAAACAGTGTTTCGTGATTTTGACCTTTTTAAGCGCGTCATGTATTCATAATGGTTTGTTCATCACCGGTCCAAAAACACCAACAGCACAGATCATCATTCACATTTCATGTTAAACACTCCACTGAGGGCTTTGACGATATCTTGGTAACCCAAGAAGAACCAGACCAAGTTGGGTTTACCCTGTGATACAGGCCACTGGGTTCAAATAGAACAGAACAATAAAACACATTCATAGTCCCCACTCGTCTTCTTCTTCTTCTTTTTTTTTTTTTAGCAGTCTGGCATTACAAAATATTGCAACTATGAGTTTGAATTTGAGTATCGATCCTCATTCATGGGGCCATGAAGAAAGTTTAAGGTCCACTTAAGTCATTCATCGAGCAGCAAACTCCAGCTGTTGTGATTCCTAACCGTGAGAGATTCAGTTGACTATCTTTCGCTTTTTGACTGTTAAAAAAAGACACCTGAAGATGTCACCTGGGCGTCTTGGAAGCTGTGATGTGACGACTAGTTCCTGCTATTTTCTAAACTAAACGATTAATCGATTCATCAAAAACAAAAAGACAACAAATCAACAATGAAAGAGTTGTCAGTGATTGAATGCCACGTGATGACAGCACCGAAAACGTCGTACTTAAATCTCTACCGAATCATTCTGGATGAGTTTCAAGCTCACCGCTGCCTAACGGAGCAGAAAACATTAACGTAGTGTTCTCAACCTCGAGGGGTTTATATTTCACCAGATTATTACCGAGAAAGCAGAAAAAAGACAATTCATCTGAATTTTTGAATAAAAGTGACTTTTACTCTTACTGGCTCATCTTGAAATTTCAGGCCTTTTATAAATTGTCCAGATGTCTGATCAAGACTGGCAGACATATCCACACAACCAGTGACAGGGAGCTCATGAGTACACATGTCGAAGGGGTCAAAAACCCCAAAGTTTGGGAAGCACTAGGCTTGGTTTGGGCCCACTGGACTGACAGTTTGCTTCATGCGTCCGTGTCCAGTACGTCTGAATCCGCTCCAGTTCGTCTCTCCTTCACAAAGACGCCATCTTGTCAAGAGACGAGGGCATGCTGAGCAGCTCCAGAGCTTTCTTCTCTGTTTTGGTCAAAGGCAGGTCTTCAGCCGGAGTGCACAAGACGGAGATCCGCTACCAAAGGAGAAGTTTGGTTTTAATAACAAAACATGAATAAAAGGGGATCCATGTTTATGTGCAGGTGGGTTACCTGTCGCAGCGTCCCCGGAGTGGTGCTCAGATTGTACACCATCCAGAGGGGAACCATGAGCGTCGAGGAGAGCGTGAACCACCAGCCGAGAGCGTAGCCCCACCACGGGTACTCAATTGTGTTGTTGAACTTCAGAGGAGTGTATTTGACCAAGGAGAAGATAAATGTTCCCTGCAAAGAATGATGGAAAAAGTAAGTAAGAAGTTGAAATCTTGGGAATACAAATGCGCCTTAAAGCTACTTGTAGTAGTTTGATTTGGATAATTCGATTGTTTCCAGGTTACTAAGGTGTTTATGTGGACGTGTAGTTTTAGCCTCAATCTTTTCCGTGTTTGTGGCCTTCAGGTGCATGTTAAAGATACCGTTTGTCAAGCTTCTCCATTTAAAAAGTCAGCGGGACACTGTTTTATACCAACTAATGTTAGCTTGGGTTAATGATTAACATCAGGTAATGACAGCTAATAAAATATTCCACTAGCTAGTTGCCACTACAGCAGGCAAAACCGCCTTCTTCTGCCTGTTCGTAACTGGCTGTTGCAATGCTGGAAGGTGCTGCTATGATCATTACAAGCTGCACACGTGTTGTGCGAGAATGGAAAACCTGACCTGCCAGACAACATTAACTAACAGACGGAGGGGGGCTTAGCTAACTTTTAGTGCAACTCACCATGCAGACGACTGGAGTGACATATTTCAAACAGTATTTAATCAGAGGGAAAGGCTTGTATCCGATCATGTCCTCTATGTTGTCGTAAAACCGATCTGCACCTGTGAGCAGATGGGAACACAGAGGTGAAAACAGAATTCAATGAAAATGATATAACCCATGCATGCTCCTGTTGCTCATGAACTCACCATACACCCATCCGATACACAGAGACTGCAGCGTGGCAAAGAGGAGCAAAGTCATCCCACTGCAGGCGTAGTAGTCAAACACCTGGAAGATGTACAGGCCGCCCTGTGTGGGAGACAGCAGTCGTTTTATAGTCTTCAATCAGATGAAAGTGTGAATTACGCGACGGTTTAATAACTTACTTCTGTAACCATCACTAGGCCGATGAAAAAGCTGACAACACAGATACCGAGCAGCAGGAGTTTACGTCGATGGCCAACGTGGAAGAAGGCCGGGTTGATGTCGGAAATCGCCGTCACCAGAGCTTCCAGTCCGACGAACTGGAACGTAGACCTCAGAGTTAGCTTCTTAGTGTGTCGCAAGCATTATAAATGTGGGGATTTAGTCATTACTGAGAGAGAACACACAACCTAATTTTCTACCCTAATTATGTTTGAATGATAATAAAGATTAAAGTCTGTGTTAAACAAAACAAGTGAGAGACATATGAGAGGATGCCTGAGCCAGATTGTTGTCAGATTAGTAAGCAGGTCATGAACATGTTGAAATTCTTGAAAAAAAATAAAAATCCTGGCCCCTGATCTTGATCCACACCAACATACGGCCAGTTGTTGAACTTTCCACTGAAATTCAGTGGAATCTGCTGAGTAATTACAAAAACATCTGGATGGACACGAGCAGATAAGGGAACAAAAACAGAGCTTCCTGGGTCGAGGTGATGAATGTGTTTGTTTTCTTTGAAGGACCAAAACTTCTAAAACTTCAGTAAGACGGTTGCATGAAAGTTGAAGAACAGGCAACCGTTAATGTCACTGCATGAAAAGATGAAACTTTTTTTTTTTTAATGTAATGATCATTCAGAATATATATCATCCTACCTCACTGTCCAGTCCCAGTAGGATGATCATAATGAAAAAGAATATCGCCCAGAGCTGAGGAACGGGCATCATGGCGACCGCTCGAGGATACGCGATAAACGCCAAGCCAGGACCTGCACATATGACAATAAGAAAACACGGTTGACATTTGGTGATTTTCAACTTGCTAAATCCAAACAATTCACCCTTGGGAATCGAATATATTTTGCTCTTGTTCTTAAATATTTACTCGCATGAACTTTTACAAACTTACCCGATTCTGCCACTTTTGATATGTCGGTGTTCTGCTCGTACGCCATGAATCCAAGAGCAGAGAAGATGGCAAAGCCGGCAACAAAACTGGTTCCACTGTTCAGAAGGCACAAATACACACAATCCCTAAAAAAACAAACAAACAAACAAACAAAATTAGACATCATATCACATTACTTTGTACTAAGTAAGGTTCAGATGCTCTGGAGAACACCTCAAACTCTTGGCTCCAACTTATGTTACGAAATGTAGTTTTGCGTAAAAGGTCTTCACAGTTTAAGCTGCTCATATTATTTTGTGTCACATTCTGAGTATAGAAATGACTTTTTGTGTTACTTATGTCAAAAAAAAAAGATGTTCGTATCCAACTTACTTATAGCAGTTGTTGTCGTACTTGTTATAGCTGCCAAGTGCTGTTAGACACCCAATGCAAATAGCATAGGAATAAAATATCTGTGTGCCAGCATCCATCCACACCTGCAAGACAAATAATGGTCATTTTTTCTCCTCCCACACACAATAAATCACACAGGAAAGGTCTTGTATGTTGAAACTGTTAGTCTTGAAAGAACCCTTGACAATTCATGGGTAGCCAATCCTTTCAATCCCCCGAAAACTGCTTTTCCCCTTAATTTCCATTTCCTGTTGGTTTTGGGAAAAGATGGTTGATACCGAACTAGTCGAGGACTTAGACAGTTAGCATGTGCTAGATTTACTGTCCCTCTGGTTCTCGTTGCCCCCTTTTCTCCAGATCTCCTCCATCTTCACAAGCACAGACATGAGCAGGACTTGCTGGAAGGATCTTGTGTGGATTGGTCCAATTTGTTCCCCATTGATTGAGCCACAACACTGGATTTTTTGTTTTCAGCACACACACAAGATTGACCACAATACGTTTGCTCCATTACTTTAAATCTTCTTTATTCTTGGATTAAATTCTATTATAAATCAAATTACATGATGAAAGTCAGGATCGTGCTTATGGTTTCTTCAGTACAACAACTCAATGTATGCAGTTAGAAGTAGTAAAATGTGTACATACCTGGGGATCAGCAAGACGGGACGGATCCGGATAGAGATAAAACTTGATCCCATCTATGGCCCCAGGCAACGTGAGCCCACGAACAAGCAACACCGCCAACATCAGGTATGGAAACGTCGCAGTGAAGTAAACCACCTGTGGAAGAGCCATCGTGAGAGTTAATCTGTGACAAAACTGTGGGCACTGGATGCT